GCATTTGTGATTTTGGAGTGCCGCTTTCTATACTGATATAGCGGCCTACTGTTTACTTTCACTCTGAATGCAGACTTTTTCTTGTTACTTAAAAATAACGGATTGCTGAGTTGAAGTCGTGGGAAGTAAACCTTGTTTCAATCTGTTTCATTCAAGTTTTGGTCTCATGAAATGGAGAATACTGTTCCTAGGAGTCTTCGAAACACCAGTATTTGTTCAAACCTGCTCGAGCTTCCGAGGAAGTAGACGTGGGAACTACAATGTGGCTCCAACCTGGAAAAGTTCACACGGTCCCTGTCATCAGCTTGGATCTTATTGTATTACCTGGTGAGAATTGACTTCATTGCTTCGCAAATATTCTGCGGTTCTTTAAAAATTCACGACTCTGTAGGTCAAATGGTCCCTATGCAAATTCACAACACAGTGTCTCGCTCTATCGTCCAGAGAGCTATCGATGGCAAGAGCTACCTCGGGTTACTACCTATTGTTCAGGGTGAAACGGGCAATAGCAAAGAGCGCTACGGGATTTTGTTGCAGGTACGCATAATTTTCCTAGAAATTTCGATACCTGGTTTCGAGAGTGGTGCTTTTCTATAATTAGGTTTTCGCTCTCGATGACTATACGTGAAGTACCAACGATTGTTGGCGCCGTTTGGCTTAGGAGGGGTACTTTGCACTTCCACTAGTTTTCTTTTGTTAGTTCCTGTCAACTTACACGTTTTACTTTGGTGGTAACTGTAGACTGTCAAGAAATGAAGCTCCTGTTGAAGTGCGAGAATTGACAGGTCTCCATTGGAGACATCGAACAGGTTGGAAGCTTGCAAAGTGCCCCCACCGAGCCGAAATACGCTCACTGATTGTTTACACTCTATTAGTCTTCAGAATTTAAGGTAAACAAATATTTGAGTGACGGGCTTGCCATGAAAGTGCAAGCTATTGGGCGGCAACGATTTCGTGTTATTTCGATGGATAATGAGACTTCGAGGTATGTCAATTTTTGTAAGCTGGCGACTTACCCTCCGAATTTCCAGGGTATTGCGTCAAGACTCTTTGGGGAAGAAAAGGGTGCTTGAACCGGGCAACCCTTTAAAGCGGATGATGGCGCGGTAAATATAGCTGGTTTCTAGTCTTTATCTGCCGCTTGTACGGTCTGGTATACGTCCATTTTTGCCGTCTCAGTGCTGCTTTCTCAGCATCAGTAAATCGAAGAAGTACTCTTCGCGAGAATCCTGAGTTATGTGCAAAAGTCTTCTATCCAAGCGGGACTCGAACCCGCACTTCAAGCTTTCCGGGGCGAGTGCGCCATCCGTTACGCCATCGAGCGAGAGGATAAGACTTGTTCGCTGCTGATGAAGGTTCGTGTCAGTGAGGCTGTCTTCGCCGCGCCCCTTCTCCAACTGTTGTTGAAGCGGATAAGACAATATTGGTGGGAAATGACTGATACGAACGATATTATCTTGTTGCTAAAATGAAAAAAGCGATCTGGCGCTGCGTCAATGCGGCGTTGCTCAGCGGTTTTCATAATAGCCCAGGTACAACGAAATATCCTGGTAGCTCAGACACTTTCTCGTAACTGATTCGCAGCCAAGACATCGTATGTGCTCGCTCTAGTTAACCTTGTTTCGATGACGAGCCCATTGGGCAAGTGGCACCAGACGTACGGAGTACGAGTAATGATACCACGGACCCTCTGCCCACATAATCGATAGTTTTTCTTGTATCGCACTTTACCTTTACCACTTTACTTTATATCGTGATGTGTGGCACTTTACCATTACTGCAATCGGCGTGGTTTTGACCAACCTTATTTTCGATGCATTGATAAAAGCGCGAGTTTGGCTGAGTAACCAAGCGAGCCAGCTATCAGGCGCTGTTCGGCTTAGAGGGGACACTTTGCCCTTTCGTTTGTTACTTTGTGAGTTCATGTTCGAGATCTGCGAACCCTTTCGAAGCTGCGAAATACTCTAAAGAAGCCAATGTGGTCACACGAAATTACAGAACTTTATAAGATGACCAAAGGTTTAGCTGATAGCGAGTGTCATTCGGTGCCTCCCACCAAGCTGAACTGCGCTATCCCGCTATCCAATTCCTTAGCCGGGTTTCCGTGGCCTGA